CAGTATTATCCATGGCATTGTTCTGTTGGCCTTCTGCTTGATGACTACTTAGGTCGACGGGTGGTTCATGACTTTTGTTGCTTTCTCTTGCTTTTCTTGCTTGTTCTCTTGTTTCGACCATCTGAATTATTTCCCTTTGTACCCAATCGTCGATTTCCACTCGGGAAATAGTTTCGTTGTTCACTATGTTTCCGATGATCAGATCATATGATCCATTGTCAGTGACCACAGCAATTACACGACCAGTTAGATATGGGGTTTGAATATTGATCAATGCCGTTTTGTATTCTGCGATTATACCGCCAAATAATTCCACATTTACATATCGGCCTGTATATTGGCATGTTTTAACGAATTTGGCTTTTACTGCCATTGTCGAACAACCCGTGTCTCGAATTGCGTTTACTATCTGTCCGTTTACTTTAGACTTAAATGTTGGTAACGAGCTTGATGTGTTTAGTAGGTGGATTCTTTCAACTGGTTGGTTATGGTTTTGTGAAGGGTTGTTTCTCTGTGGTCTCTGGTAAGGTTCGTTCCTTGAAGATGAGCGTTGTTGGCTTAGTTGTTCTAAGTAGTTCACTCGAGTTTCAACTCTAAATTGTTTCACTCCTCTAATATTTCCTAATATCACATCGTATGGCCCGTTTTTAAAAACAGCTGCTTCAACTGTTTTACACGCTGAGGGTGTGGCTATGGTGACTATAGCTGTTGGCCAAACATATGTGCTGCCTCTTGAGCTGTGAACACGTTGTGTTCTGCCTGTGTATTGGTGGTGTTGTACGAATGTGTTACGTACTGCCACTGTTGAGCAGTGTGTGTCCCTAATTGCTGTGGCGTATCTGCTATTAATTTTTGACGTAAATGTGTCTGTTCTTTTACTGGCTTCTGTAAACGATGATATGAATGCCATTCTATTAATCTGTCTATATTTTGGTCTGTTGCGTTGTGCATCTTGTTGGCGTATATCATAATATCGTATTCTGCAATTTATTTGTTTGTGGCCTGTTCTATTACAATAGTAGCATCTGACACTGTAATTGTGTTTTTGTTGACTGTAGTTAATCTGAATGTTGTGATTTGCGCTATTATGTTTTTGGAGTGTATGTGGTGTTTCACTTTTTGTAGTAGGTATTTCGCTTGCTTCACTGAACGTGTCATCTGAATCTGAATCGTAGGAATAGTAAAATGTTGTTTCAGCTGTCTGGTTGTTATTATTAGTATCTAAACTTTGCACCGTTTCTTGTTTGGCTTGGCAAAGTTCTCTCAATTTTTCTCTTTCTTTACGAATTCTTTCTGTTTCTTCTTTAAGTCCGGCAATATATGTTTCTGCTTCTCTTTGTTTCTCTGCTAACTCGGCATCTATCTTTGCATCATATTCTTCTTCAGTCAACAAGGAATCTGGATCTCCGAATACCTTGTAATCTACAATTCTATTGATCAAATCTTCCATAGCATCTGGATCATCTAGAGTTTTTACGTCAAATTCTTTAACAGTTAATAACCAGTCTCGATTTTCTGTTGTCGTGTATTGTCCAAGCCTAATAATCAATTCATCCAGAATATCTGGATCCTCAATAGTTCTTGAATTGCTTTTCACTTTGACTGTATTCTGAACATTTATATCTAGTAACGAGTTATCAATTCTACCTGACTCTTCTAGGCCTGACTTAAGCTCAGTTTTAGTGCCCACTTCGTACAATGGAGGCATTTTTAAGGGTAGTGTGGTTGAAGAAACAGATAAGAAAGAGGCAGAAAAACCGCTGGTACCAAATATCCAGCACAAGTCTAAACCCAAACGTTTAAAAAATTTTTGGAAGGTACTTATCTTTTTGGACATGTTGACTGTTTCCTTGTGTTGTTAATCCAAACTCGTTCCGGTTGAAGAAACCCGCTGTTGTGTTGAGTTGAAGAAAGCTGTACACCAGTCGTACTCCGTCATGAATAGCTGATATACGTTCTTTCCCTCACTCGACCCGCGCTCCACCAGATGTGAGGGTGGGGATTTTTTTAAGAAGGCGTAACGAATGAATCCAACAACACGCAGTTCAAGTTCAACTATAATTGTTCTTTATTAAAATGATATATATGTTCAAGTTTCTACCTAACTGATCTACACTGTACTATTTACTTCTACTACTGACTGTTCACTATACTACTAACTCCCACGACCAATCCTAACACTATCTACATTCTACAACCTAACACCTTCTCTACTCTTCGCTATCTAATCATGATCTCCTAACTATCTACATTCTCGGCCGTCTCTGACCGCTACCTAACACCGTCCTCGCCTATCGCTCTCCTGCCCCACGCCTCAGTGGTCAGCTGACCGTCCCACGTGACCGGTCAGCCCTGTGCGCCCATTGGCCTCTCTACCCAACCAACTAGGCCTATCGTCTGTTTCTGCTAACCTATATCTGCTAAACATGTCTGACGTAATCTTGCGTCATCACAGTTACCCCATTATGATATTGAAACCTATACAAACTTGAACCCAATGCAATTCTACATGGGACGGAGTGGACTATCGCTAGAGAGTTGTACTCGAGTTCGAATCCGGGTTCAAATCATTAGACCGTCCCTGAGTCCACTCAGCTATGATGGGTACCTAACTCACGTTTGGTTAAGTAAAGGTGGCTGGGCATAATGCTGACCACACTATCTCTTATAAACAAGTGAACTCTACTTTACTTGCCACATAGTCAGGTTTGTAATTATACTTATAATTTCATCAACAGTAAGCATTTTTTTTTTTAAGATTTTAAAAGGATACTCTCTAAGACACACATTATGTTGTTCATAAGCTACTTTGGGTACAAATAGCAGCTTTTAAAATTAACTTCTCAAGACGGTATTTCGCCAACAACTTTTTTAACTAAAAATATTTCGGCGAAATTGTTTTTCACTGAGGCATCTAAAGCGTACCAGAAATAACATTGACAAAGGGGAAAAATATGTAGCGAATTTTTTTATCGTTAGCTAACTTTTTAACTGTCAATACTAGGATTAAAATAGATATTACTTGTAAATTTTAGAGTTGAAAAGAAATATAGTTAAAATTCTATAATCATCTTCACAGCAATAATTTCAAGAAGGGAAGGTATCAGAAAAGAAAAGGGGGTCGAAAAAGTCTCGATTTCGAGAACCCTCGGGCAGATGAGGCTCGTTAGCTGGGGACAGCCACTCTTCTAAGAGAGACAACTTGGTTTTCCAAAGGCTATGGAAGCAAATTCAAAAAGAAAAGCAGGCTGAAATCGAAGTCAATGGCCTCAATGGCGCATATTCAGTTGACACGTAAACTTAATTGTGTTGGAGGGGATTCTTTCCAACACTAAAATTAAGAGCGAAGAAGAAGAAAAGAAAAACAGTAGTGAGTTAGTTGTTTTACTGGACAAAAGACTAACAAGAAAGAAGACGACGATGATTTTTTCTTTGGGGTCATCCATAAATGACGTCACGCTTCCTCTCCCCTCCGTCACACATCGTCACAAAAAGCCAGACCCCCGCCCTAAAATGAAGTCACACCTAAGCCTACAACACCACCCCCCCCTCAAAATTGCAGTTGGATTTTTCTTAAAACATCGATTATTTTTTCCAAAATCTCGTTAGAACTCTGTTGTCAAAATAGAGTATTTTAATCAATACCTATTACAATTTTTTAAAACTGTTTTAAAAAACGCAAAATAACGGCTATAACTGGTTTTCTAACATTGCTTTTTTAAAATTCAAAAGTGTGACGTCACACCATCTGACCCCCCCCCCCCCCCTCATCACACACCGTCACAAAGTTACGGTACCCCTCACTTCCCCCTTTGAGTGTGACGTCATTTAAGGACGACCCCCACTTTTACCAGTAGAGACGAATTGATGAAGGTCATGATGCCCGGGTCATGTTTGAGCGATACGGCAGTCCCGTTCATGGCTGAGGGAATAGCTTGAACTTCTGCTAGTACACACAGGAAGTGGTGGGACGGGTCTGTGTGTGAAGGGGGGGGGGGGGTAAATATTAGCAGAGGGTGATAAGATTTATGATCATGACGAATGAGGAATCTAATTGATTAAAGTAATAATATCAGAGATGGAGAAGGGGTGCTATAAGAGCAGTGTTTATTTTGGTCTTCCTTACAAAATGAAATTAATTATCTTGCCATATCCGGTTTGTTACTTTGAAAAGTACGTCACATAAACAAAAACTTATAAAAACAAGTTATTTATATGTGTAAAATAAAAATCTTTTAAGTGCACTAAAATTGTAAGTTAAATTACATGTTGAGCTATCCACACTTTCATTGTGTGTATTATATCTAAGGGAAATGCATGTTTATTTTTTTAAGTGCATTTAAATCGTGTTATTGTAAAGCCATTTATAGGCCTACTTGTTAGATACTGCTCAGGGGGTAGGTAACACCCCCCCCTTCCCTTCCGAAGAGATGCCTGAAAGAAACACTGTAAATAGTCATCTGTGACCTGAACAACTTTTGTTTGTATTAACAGTTACCCAGATCTATATTCTTCTTCATAGATATAAAATCATGCTAAAACATTACATCATTGCCCGTTAACACAATTTACCAGCACTTCGCATTGCTTTTAAATGTTTTTGAACGTATGGTTAAAAACAGGATAAAAATATGTACAAACGTAAAAAAAAAATAAAAAAAAAACAATGCGCAGACAATGTGCGCAGACGTCCCATTCCATATCACCTTTACCTTGTTTCTCGCGCGGGCAGACGTGTCCTGAAATGACATTTCTCTACGCGCGACACCTTTCACCAAAAGACATTCATTAACTCTCTCCCTACCATATCCCCCCCCCCCCCACCCTCCCTTCAACGCCACGAACACACCGCTAAACCATTCCACTAATTACAGCCCTCACAAAAACATTCCCTTCCCCGCGGTTTTGAGAATGTCTGCTGCATCTTCCGTGATGTTTGTTTGCTGTTTGTGTTTCAATCTGCCTTCAATAACGTCTGCAAATCAAACTTCCGTCCCCAGCGCATTACATTCCAGCAACGATTCGAACCCCGGACCTCCATCAAGAAAAACTGAAATCCCCATGGCGCTAGATAAGTTTGTAGGCAGATGGTTGGAGGAGAAGAAGGAAGGATTTTCTTGCCTCGCCGATGCTTTGGGTAAGTAGATTTTTTTATATTGTTTGTGAATATTCAATAAAACGAGCTGACCCGCGACATAGCATACGCCGCTATCTAGTTGTTTTATTTTCTACTTATCAACAATTCATAATTTGTGAAATCGACACTACCCCAGTCCCATGCCTCCCCCACCCCCATCCTACCCCACCCCACCCCGCCCAGTGACGATAATGAAAATATCAAGCAGGACTTATTATCTCCCCTTAGTTTCAAATCGTTTAAAAACTAAATTATCTGCCCCTAATAGCCGTCACTTATTCGAACGGTCTCTACTATTGTAAACATTCGGGGTGATCCACAGCTCACCTGACAGGTGGGGATGAGGGTGGTGGCTAAGCTGCGTTGTGTTTTCTATGGTCTCCATGAAGAGAATTATATATATAGATGATCATGTAAATAGATCTGGGGTTGGATCTATATAGAGTACCAGCCAAAGGAGTGGTTTATGGGAGTTCGGGTGGGGCGGTTGCCCTGGGAGCCAGCGACGCCTAATGGAGTTAAAATGTTAAACATCCTTCTGTACAGCTTTACTAAATTATACATTGGAAAAATTAGGGATATATACTAGTACTTGTATTTACAGACTTATTTAACTGTTTATAAATCAAATGTGTGATACCAAACAAACTATTATGGGATAGTGACCGGTAAAAGCGTTTCCGATCTTTTCTAATTGAGGGGGGGGGGGGGGGGGGTGCTTTTTGCAAACGGGTTGCATGTGGAGGGGGGAGTATATATTGTTCGCCCTGGGTAGCTATACCTCTGATGCCAACTGAGCCGTGTACTGTCGTATTGATTCTAAAAGTACTACTGATATTAAGGATGGTATTATAAGTTACACTTTCGAATCTAGTGGTCCATAGGACAGGTGAAATAGAGTTCACTTGTTTCTGCGCCCCTGGCGTATGAAGAGATAGTGTAGTCAGCACTATGCTCAAACGGATTTTTTTCCCTTGTCGCTTACCCATCAGAGCTGAATGTACTCAGGGACAACGTGCAGACTAAAGCCGGGGTCTGAACTCGACACATTATGGTTATCATTCGTGTGCTCTATCGTCTGACCACGCCGTTCCTTTTAGTATTATAGTTCAGATCTACGGTCCAGATTATTGTAGGGGCTAATCGTATTTTCAGGTTAGATTAACACGGGGTCTCATCTCTATTTTTACAATCCCTTAAGCTAAAGATCATTTAGTAATGTAAGCAATTTAGCCCATTCCCCCCCCCCCAAATTCCTAATTCACATCGTAACCATACCCCCCCTCCCCATAATGTCACTAAATTTAACACTCCCACCTCCACCATTCACCACGTCACCAACTCGTCCTCACTGAGCCACACCACTAACCTGTCACCATCACCACCATCCTCGCCTAATTAACACCATCAACCCATCGTCCATCTACCTCGCAATTAGCACCTAATTAATTCTCTTGTCGTTTTCCCATTTTCTCGACACGCCATCTTTCACAAGCTGCTAAATTTAGCGGCATTCCTTCCATTGGCAAGAATTTGTCGAGCATGGCTTAGTTTGTTTCGACATGAATTTCACTATCTTAGCCATTTTAAATGACTTTTACCGGTAATACATGGTCAGGAACTTATTTAAAGACACTTAATCTATATAGTACACCACCCGACCCCTTTCTTCTTCTCCCCCCCCCCACTCCCACGTCACACATTTTACCGTTAATATATGTTTAGGATGTTATTTAAAGAAATGCCACCTATATACTACACCTCCCTACACCTTTTCTCTCCTTACCAACCCCCCCCCCCCCCCCCGATCCAGTCCCAAGTCACAAATTCTACCATTAATAAATAAATAAATGTTCAGGAACTTATTTAAAGAAATTCCACGTTTATACTACATCTCCCCCCCCCCCCCTTTCTCCCCTTACATTCCCCCCCCCCCCCCCCAAATTCTACCATTAATAAATGTATACATGTTCAGGAAGTTATAGAAAGAAATTCCACCAAAACAGTACATGTTCCAACCCCTTTACTCTTCTCCTCCACCCGCCCCCCCTCCACAGACACACATTGTTGTAAAACTTAGTGCCAAATGTAAACTTAGTGCAAAGTGTTCACTAAAGCTACAGCATTCCTTCCATCAGCAAGCTAAACAAGAATGTCTCGAGCAGTGCTTTATTTATTGCACAATGCATGTTACTTTATTATCTTATCCATTTCACATGATCTTTTACCGTTAACGCATGTTCAGGTAATTTTTTAAAGAAATTCCATCTGTATAGTACGTCTCCTGCCCCTCACCTTTTCTGCCCCTCCCCTTATCCCCCCTCCCCTTATTCCCCCCTCCCCTTCCCCCCCCCCCCCCCCCGTCACACATTTTACCGTCAATAAACGTTGAACTTATTTAAAGAAATTCCATCTATATAGTACATCTCCCATGCCCATTTCCCCCCTCCACCCAACACCCACCCCCTCAACCCAGTTTACCGTGTTAATAAACGTTGAGGAACTCATAGAAAGAAATTCCACCTATATAGTACATCTCCCCCACACCATTTCTCCCCCCCCCCCACCCACACACACACACACAATGCTGTAAAACATGTACATTGAAAAATAAAAAGTAAACCTTAGTGCAAAATGTTCACCTAAGGCAGAGCTCGCATATCAATGTAATGTCTGGTCTACTAGTATTAAAAACACATTGGCTGTATAGGTTGGATATAGAAAAAAAAAACAGTGCTAAAAGTAACGAAGTCACAAAATAAACATTCTGAGATAACTAATCCCACAGGTAAAAAATTATTTTTAAAAGTTAACGTTTTTATTTGATAGTGTTAACATTAACAAGCGGGACTTATAAATATGTTTAGCGGAACATAGATTTATACCAGGGGTCTCCAAACTACGGCCCGCGGGCCGGATTCGGCCCGCGAAGTCCTCTCATCCGGAGATCTTTTTGTCCAAGGAAAAATAGTTTGTTGGTGATGGCTGAAGAACTTCGCGCAGAAAAAATCAAAGACATGCCTGGAAGAAACTGGCCCCCGAACTGAAATTTGATAGTTAATGCGGCCCTCGGACTGAAAAGTTTGGAGACCCCTGATTTAAACACACTAGTTGCGAGAAAGTAGTAGCGATCGGTGTTTGTTTTGATTCTGATCAGCATTTTTAGTTTCGTAAATTGAGCAGTAAATCTTCAGTCACTTTTATTTCTTCTTCATTCTTAATTGTAATGTTGGACGGGATTTTCTCCAACTTAACTAATTATACGTGTCAACATGTTTTTCTATATATAGCACATTGACTCAGAATTCAGCCTGCTTTTCTTTTTGTACTTGCTTCCATAGCCTTTGTCCATCCAAAAAAACAAACTGCAAGGCAACAGTTGTTTGGTTTTAGAGGTTTTACTCCTACATGGGTTGCTGTTCCAAGCAATATAGACGGGAGTTGCTTTTACTTTTTCTTTCTTCTTTTATACTGTAATGTGCTCGCCTATAGTTGATCTCAAGTTATACCCCCCCCCCCCCTTCCTTTTCCCTATTGTTTTACGTGGCTACAAATAAACCAGACCTCAGCACTTAAAGAAACAACCTCCCCCCTCCCACAACCAACTCAGATTATTTACATTACCCATTTCTCTAGTTTACGTTACCTAAAGAAGTTCGTTCATTTCATTTTGTCTTCCATACACAATGGTTTTAATTCAAATTGTTCCTACTACACGGAATTTAATCATCTAGCTATTCTCGCCTCTAATTTGTCTCACCATTCAGCTATGCTCATTATCCAGATTGTCTCACCAATCAGCTAATCTCGACATTCAGCTTGTCTCACCGTCCAGACAGTCTCCCCAATCAGATAGTCTCACTATTCAGCTTAACCATTAAAATCGTATCACCATTCAGCTAGTCTCACCATTTAGCTAGTCTCACCATCCAACCTCACCATCAAGATCGTCTCACCATTCAGCTAGTCTCACAATTTAGCCTCACTATTAAAATCGTATCACCACTCAGATAGTCTCACCATTTAGCCTCACTATTAAAATCGTGTCACCATTCAGATAGTCTCACCATTCAGCCTCATCATTAAGATTGTATCACCATTCACCTAGTCGAACTATTCAGCTAGTCTCACCAATCAGCCTCACCATTAAAATCGTATCACTATTCAGCTAGTCTCACCATTAAGATTGTATCACCAATCAGCTAGTCTTACTATTTATATAGTCTCACCATTCAGCCTCAGATTGTATCACCATACACCCAGTCTCACCATTTATATAGACTAACCATTCAGCTTAACCATTAAGATCGTATCACCATTCACCTAGTCTCATCATTCACACAGCCTCACCATTCATATAGTATCACCATTCACAGCCTCAGATTGTATCACCATTCATCTAGTCTCACCATTCATATTAATCTCACCATTCAGCTTAACCATTAAGATAGTATCACCATTCACCTAGTCTCACCATTCATATAGACTCGCCATTCAGCCTCACTATTAAGATCGTATCACCATTCAGCTAGTCTCACCATTAAGCTAGTCTCATCATTAAGCTAGTCTCACCATTAAGATAGTATCACCATTCAGCTAGTCTCACCATTCAGTCTCACCACCCATCGTCCCTGTAACCTCGTGTTTTTCTCCTTACCTCATGTTTGTGTCCCTGTTATCCATTTCTCTCACCATTTTTAATATTGTACACTACCACGTTGCTAAGCAACAAAACGCCTTAAGCAAGAGACTTTAGCGATAGGTCGCTAAACAGTGTGTGGGGGAGGGGGAGGGACGGGGGTGGGAGTAGGGGGTGGATGGAGACGAAGAAATCTTATCAGCGATGTTGAGCAAATTAATTGAAGCAATTTAACGGCTCGATAATTCATCGTTCGCTGGTCAGCAGTCAGATTTTCGCAGGGGCGTTAACTCGATGTTTTTACAAGACTGATTACACTCACTCAGCGAAGAGTTAGCTTTGTTTAAACTTTAATGATGCG